AGAGGGAGTACGAGAACAAGTACGCGCAGCAGCTGGCTGCAGACTATGCGTCGCTGATTGAAAACATCAACGACGCGAGCAAGAAGGGCAACGACCTGCGCGCCCGCCTGTACAAGATGGACGCTTTTGCCGACAAGTTCATCAAACTGCCCAGCGGCGTCTGGAACAAGATTGACGCTAATCGCTAGCTCGATGAGAGCTGATAGTGAGTTGCCGCCTTTGGTGCACTGCTCTAGAATCTAGAACCCGATCCTTCAGACCTTTGACTGTTAGTACTAGTACCCTGTATGGAGGGCAACGGCAAAGGTTTCAGTCCTGACTTTGCACAGGATAGGAGTCGGTATAGCAACAATTTGATGGATAAGTATCGCACTTCTGTCAGGTCTTTTCAGAGTCCATGCCTTGTCCATCCTTGTTCCAAGGTAGGTCAGTACGATTCACGATGCGGGAATGCACGCACTAGAAGTTAAGATATCTCAAATGTGTGCCCGACAAATAGTCCCAGTAGAGGCTTTGTTGCAACTCACGTTGCTTTTCAAGACGAGCTCTTTGATAGACATTTATCTAAATGAGCTATAGTCTAAACTCCTTAGAGGGGGATATATAGGGGATTATATAGGGGACTATACCCAAGAAAGGGCAAAGCAATCCCTGCAGCTCATCTCCTGGGATGCAAAGCTTCTGCGGACTCTCAGTTTGTCTGAAGAGGTTTAGGGTTTGGGGTTCAGGGTTATAGCGCAGACTTCTAGATAACAACAAAAACAGATTCTTTTGTGGCAGGCGTTGCAGTACTTTGAGTCAATGGGAGAGCTGCTTGGAGACTAAATCCCGAACCCTATTTACTATGACCCCAAGATATACTGCATTATGATGTATAGTTGTCATTTTCTTTTCCATTGCCACAATAATTTAATGATAGCAATAGTCATAGTACTTATAGTACTAATTTTTAGTAATAGTAAAAAGTGTAAAAATAGTAATCATAGTAAGAATACTAATCATAGTAATAATAGTAATACCAGTAATACTAGTAATAGTAGTACTAATAGTAAGAATATCAGACCTTACATCCTAGGCTTGTGCTCTGCCTGCACGGTCATATTTTCCTTCCGAAGGTCACGGGTTGTGTGAACTGCCAGCTCCCGTCCTGAGTGCATTTGTGTTTCCGTTACTGCCTGGCCCATCTTGGTCTAGCCCATGAAAAGTCATCCTGCCTTGGAATATTCCCGGAATGGAGAATAATCCCGCTAGACATCCCACGCTGCTCGAAATGCAGTGTGCAAGCTTGTGGTACCTTTTTCGAAGTGAGGAAGTCGTCTGCATTCGGATGCGTATAAGGGCCAGTTCAGCTTAGCTATTATTATTAGTATTGTTATTATGAATATTCACATTAATATTTTATTGCTCTTACCAGGTTAGTATTACCATTATTACCATTATTTCTACTCCGGGGTAGCAAGAGATGTCCTCAGGTTGGAGCGCTTTTAATGCCGCGATAGATCCAGCGACAGGGGCAGTCCTTCATGCAGCTATGATTAGGTTATTGGGGTAATGGAAAAGAAAATGGAAACCACTACAGATTAATGGTTTAGGGTTTAGGGTTTAGGGCTATAGCAGGGGATAATAATTGTAAGTTCAAGAAGAAGGCTGATAGTAAGAACTGCCCCCTTCATGACATGCACGAGATCTTGCATGGGCCTGCCTGTAGGGCAATGGCAAAAGGGGAAGGCCGGGTCCTGAAAAGTTCCCTTAACAATAATAAGATTAATAACACGACAAAAATAATAATAACAATAATAATAATAATAATAACAATAATAACAATAATAATAACAATACTAATAGCACAATACTAATATTACCAAGAATAATACGTTGGATCTGATGTGCGCCCATGCAGGGATCCGCTCAGCCTGTGGCATTCCCGGCACCCAGTCCTTGTGCCCAGTCGCTTCAGCGAAGCTTTGCTCACTAGTGGTGTTCATCAGCCTTCTTGGGCACAGGGCTGCAGCACTGGGGCCGTGGGACAGTAGTCTCGTCTGCGCCGCCGCGTCCTTGGCAAAATGTCCTCTGATGCCGCAAAAGCACAGCCCATCTGGACTTGAGTTTGGCGGTGCATGCTCCACACATGCGTATGCCGACGCTGCTTAGCCCCAACTGTCAACAGCGCTTTGTACATGTCCCCCCGCTTGTTTTCCACTTTTGTAGGTGCCATGAAGCTGTTCGCCGCGTCCTTGGCAATCTTGGCGGCGCTTGTGTCGGCTTCGCCCCAGGCGTTGGAGTCGGCGCTGGCCG